CAAGTTTGATATGCTACAGTTCAGTAATGACATAATCTTAATTTTCAAATAAATAAGCTATAGTTCCTAGATGTGTCCTGGCTGACACAGCTGGTGCCAGAACTCCACCTGCTGTTTGTAAAATCCGATATTAGTCTCTTAATGTGAGGCAGCTTATTGTGCAGATACTGGCATCTGTTCTTCAGAGTAGCTGGGGCTAGACTGCAAAGGAAAAATAAGAAAATCTGGGCATGCAAACATGTCCTTTCCGTTAAAATAGCCTTGAGCCAGGCTTAGCGGTTACTACCTCCTACAGACTGTTTTATCTTCTCATACTCTGATAAGACCTTTCTTAAGAAGCATCTTCAAGGAAAGAAAAAACAAGCATAAAGCCAATATGAAGAACATTTCACTATTAACAGAAAATGCAAACAGATGTGCACCACTAAAAATATGCTGTTTGACTCAAGATTCTGTGAGCCACCACTCTCCTGCTTTGCAAAAATAAACACTAAGCCCCCATATCACCCAAGATCTGCAAGTAAACCTGTCAACTACCACAAAATCAGTACCTGATCCAATACTCCATTTGGCACATGCCTCACGCTGCCATGCATCCACGAACGGCTCAGGCAGGTGCAGTCTGAGGGCTGGGCAACTTTTTTTGGCTGGGTTTTGCAAAAAAATCAGTGCCAGCCCACACAGCACCTCAGCAAGTATGCCAGTTACTTAAGAGAATTTAAAATAATACTCCTTCACAAGATACACAAGTTCTGATATTGAAGATGTGGAATTTGCGTGTCCAAATCAGAACCGTCCGCGTTGAACACCCAACACACATCAGGGCATCTCTATGCGGCCATTGTGACGTCGCTGATGACAGAGGCTCTGCAAAGCTCTGGCGTCACAAAGGGGGTCCCTGGCTCCCCAATAAAAGCGGGTGAGCCGCACGCCCCGCACACCACCATGGCCCGCTACCGCCGGCGCTCCCGCAGGAGCCGCAGCCGGAGCCGCAGCCGCCGCCGCTCCCGCCGCCGGGGCGCGCGGAGAAGGCGCCGGGCTGGATCCCGCCGCTCCAGATACCGCCGGCGCCGCCGGGGCGGCAGGAGGCGCAGACGCCGCTGAGCGAGCACCGAGCACCGCGGACCAAGCCCCGCACGGACACACGGCGGGCCTAACAATAAATTAGCACGGCAAAGCTCACGTGGGTGTGCTCGTCTCTGCTTCGCTCCTCCCCATAGCGCCTCACGCCTCAGGGCTCCCCTGTGGGGTCGGGCTGCTCGGAACCCGCGCCCGCATTCCACGTGTTCTATCTGCTGCTGCTCCTGTGTTTCCAGCTCCGCTGTTCGACAACAGCGCTCCCAAAGTCTGTCCCTCCCCGTTTTTCTGTGCCCTGTTCATGTCCATCCCAAAGCTGAATCAAGAAGGAATGTGAATTGCAGACCTTTTCAGAGGTCCCCCACCTGATATTCGTGCTCTGTAGGAATATATTTACATCAATTAATCAAATTTATTTACATAAAATGGTGAATTTTTTACGTAACTATTCCTTATTTGCACAAATGCATCATGTGATGAATTTCTTACATAAATGATGCCCCTTATTTACATAAATTCATCTTCACAGCTGGCAAAGCTTCAGTCTGTCACCAGCAATTTTCTGCCGTGGACATGGTCCTGGGGTTCCCGGGCCCGTGGCTGTACCCCCCAGCACGTGGGCCGGCGAGGCGGCCTCTTGCTGGGCGGAGGGCAATCCTGCGGGCTGGGGGACTCTCCTCTGGGGGGGGGTGCTGGGACGCCCCGGGCAAGCGGTTCCTGCCCCGTCTGGGAGCGGAGGGGCCGCGGCTGCTGCCCTGGGCAGAGGGACCTGCCCCCTCTGCCTGCTGCTCCTGCTCTGCGGAGTCGGGCACAGCTCGGGGGCAGCTGGGGCTGCCAGGAGTGGTGGCCGCCGATGTATCGGCTTCCTCCACCTTGGAGCCTGCGGGGCTGCTGGGGGGAGTCCCCTCCTGGGAGCTGGACTTGGGGCTGCTGGAGCTTCTGGTGCTGCTGGACCTGGATCTGGAGCTGGCCACAGGGCCGTTGTTCTCGTCCCTGGCAGCAGCAGAGCCCAGCAACCCCTGTGCTTCCTCGCTGCACCGGCCCACGATGACACTGCTGACGCTGTGGATCAGTGGCCAGCCACCACGGGTCCCAGTATATTCCCTTCGGCCTCTGGTGCAGGCAGGGCCACACACGGTCCAGGAGATGCTGTTGTCGACGGAACAGTCCTGCCCACACCTCGGGCAGGATGCCGCCCGTGGGCTGTGGCCCTGCAGTCCCCTGCCCAGCTGGGGACAGTGTTCCAGGTGGGGGAGGCAGAGTGGGCACCACAGGGCGATGGGGGCTGTTTTCAGGCAGGTGGGAGGGAGCTCTCCCTGCTCAACTCTTGGTCTCTGGTGACTCCTGGGCGGCTGTGATGGCCATCTCTATATAATCATGTTCTTCATGGCCAGGAAACCTGACAGTCTTTACTGTCTTGCTGCAGAGTGGGCACGCTGGATTTCTCCTTGTCCACCGCGGGATGCAAACCCTGCAGAACTCGTGGTGACAGGGAAGAGCGGCAGCCACGTCATTTTGATGTCCTGGCACATGGGGCAGCCCCACTGTGTCTCCGTGGCCATTCTGTGCTCTGCGTGGGGCTGGACAGAGCTGAGGACCAGGAGCTGCTCCTGCTCGCAGGCACACTCGGCAGGAGTCAAGGCTTGGACCAGCCTGGCCCAGGCTCTGCTGGTGCCCAAACATGAGCAGTGAGGGACGTGGCATCGCAATTTGAGCAGCGATGTCAAAATGGGAGGTTCCCCCTGCAGGTGCTGGAGCTGGAGCTGCTGGAGCTGGAGCTGGCTCTGGCCACAGGGCCGTTGTTCTCATCCCTGACTGCGCCAGAGCGCAGCAGCCTCTGGGCCTCCTCACTGCACTGGCCAACAATGATGTTGTGGGGTTTTTTTCCCACTTGATTTCCAGTAAGCTGGCGGTTGACTGAAACTCTACATTTTCCACCAGAAGTTTTAAAGTCTGCCTGCTGGAGATAAAACCCTGTCAAGCACTTCTTGCAGACTAGTTTACTGAAACACATGGATCCGGCATCAGTGATTTCATTGTGGTTCATCAAACTCTGCTTTTCCATGGGAAGTCTAAAAGCTACATAACCTGGCCTCTGGTTTACTGGAGTTCTGGGTTGAACTACGCGGTGAGCTCCTCTCCATCTCAGCTGCAGAATTTATTTCTTCTAAAGCTGTAGAAGTGGCACAGGCTCAAAATGACATTGAAAAGCTCAACAGAAATGCACAATGAACACTGGATTTCTTATCACAGGAACACACCCAGCAAGGCAGAGTTCAGTCTGGGTGTTGTCTTGTTTTGGACTCGCAAATTAGAAATCGGGTTTAGCCTGGAGATCTCTTTAGAGTGTGCAGCTGCCTCTTGGAAGTGCAGGTGTGCTTGTAGAGACGGGTGCTTTGGGATGGTCTTTCCACATCTACCCTGGACATACGCACGGTGCCCACAAGCCTTGGGATTGCTTTGGAAGTATTTGTGCTTGAATCTATAAACACATGAGCATCCTTCTTCAGGAGCCAGTACGAAAATTCTGAACAGCTGGAGAAAGAGAAGTCTGTACTGTGGTTCAAGACTTGAGGAAATGAAATGGAGAAATGAAATGTCTTTTTTCCCCCTCTCCCATTTCTCACCCTCCCCCCCACACGTTTTCTGCCCTTTTCTCCGATCACGTTTCTCTCTTTTCAGTCACGTTTCTTGCCCTTTTCCCCTCACAGTTCAGTTCCTTTTTTCACTCCTTTCCCTCTCCTTTTTCACTCACTTTTCCTGTCTTTTTCCCCCCTCACCTTTCCCACCCTTTCCTCCTCACATTTCTCACTTTTCCCCCTCATGTTTCCTGCCCTTGTCCCATCATGTTTTCTGCCCTTTTCTCCCCTCACGTTTCTGTGCTTTTTCCAGTCACAGTTTTCACACTTTCCCCCTCATGTTTTCCACCTGTTTCCCCTCACATTTCTCACATTTCCCCCTCATGTTTCCCCCCCCTTTTCCCCTCAGATTTCCCTCTTTTTATCCCCTCCCGTTTCTCACACTTTCTCCGTCACATTTCCTGCATTTTTTCACCCTCTCAATGTCTGTTTCTCTTCAGTGGTGTTTGGCCTTCTCTTCTTTTTATTTTTTTTTCCTGCAATGCCTTACTCAAGTAAGGTTTCCTTGAGCAGCAGCCTGTGAGTCCGCCTGTTGCTGAACAGAAGGTCGTGCTGAACCAGAAGAATCTCATTAGGGGACAAACAAACCAGAGTGGACTTCCTGCTGGAATTTTGGTGTTTGGGGTTTTTGTTGTTTGTTTGTTTTTTCCCCAAACTCTACATAGTCTTCTTAGTGTTTTAAAACATATAGGTAGCCTTAGGGATACATATCTCAAGAGAAGCACCCACTGCACAATGGACTTCAAGTAGATCCCATCTCCTTCTTAAGAATCACCTCACAGTCACTATGACTCCTGTCTGAAAGAAACCTGCCCTGATGGCTCTTTAGGTTAAAGGAAGTCCATCAGAACAAGAAGTGCTTTTGGCCCTTTGTTGGCTCCATATAACTTTAAAAGGTGCAAACCACGGAGTTTCTTCCCATTTTCACCTATTTGGACTGACTTGACATCAGATGAAAGCACTGAGAGCCGAGGTTACAAACTGGCTCATGGATCTCTGCGTATAGAGACCAAAGACGCAAAACTGGATCAATCAGCCCGTTGTTCATTATTGTCCATCTAAACAGGGGGCTGAGAGTGGGGGCTCCGTCTGCCCTCTGCTGCTCCGGGGCCAGGGCTGGGGAGGGAGAGACCAGGGATGGCCCTGGGAGGCGCCCCCAGCTCCAGGCACCATCTTGTGTGTGGCTGCAGTCCCGGCTGTCATCTTGTGCGGTCTCTTGTGCCTCTGGGGATGGGCGCCTGTCTTTTTCTCTCCCACACTGGGATTTGGAAACGGTTCTTTTTCCCTGTGTTACACTGCTTCTTCCTTGTACATGCCCAAGTCGTTGTCTTGCTCATTTTACTCTAAGAATGGAAATAAGAGGGCTCAGATAAGCATCCAAACATTCTCTGACTACTGCAGCTTCAGCCAGCAGTCACCTGCCTCTGCTTTGCTCCTCCAGCGTTCTCTCTACCACAGCAACACACATCACTCAGCTTTCAAAGCTTTCCAGAGGATATCGTCCTCTGCCATCTCCTGTTCATTAGGATCTGGTTCCTGCCTCCAGACACCCCATGAGGCTGGCTTCTCTATGCAAGCACCTAGGCACGCACTTCTGTGCTTTCTTTTCATTTGGAGGGGACCGGCCGAACATTACAAGATAAGGATAAGACTAAGCTAATTCTCCACGTGTGATTAGTACAGGTTTATGTATTTTCTGTAGCCTTTTACAACCGCAGTTTGGAAGTCCATTTTACAGAACTGTATGCGCTACAGAGCGTTTTGAAGACAGCTCTTTCAAATTTTCCTTTTCTTTCCTAAATAAAGGCAGATATCTGGTTTACAAAATCACATTTCCTAAGCTGAGTCCAAACTACAGACCTTCTGCTGGTACCTGTCCATGCCTAGATCAAATCCAGTTTTCTCTGCATGAGCGTGCCACTGGGAGTTATCATTTCACAGCTGTTCCGTGTCTTTTGTGGAAGGAGTGGGTGATATCATTCCAGTTCCTAGTCAAGGCTTCCATATCTCAAAATCTCCTGCCTTAATTAGCACTAACTGGCATCCTTCTTGGAAGCATCAGAAGAAAGGCCAAGCATGAAGAATGAAGTAGTCTCTTTCTCCTGGAGGTGAACCCCCCAGGACACACACAAGGCACCAGGCTTAATGGTATGAGGGCTGAATATGAAGTTTATTCTTATTAGATTAACTAAAGGCTATTCTCATCCTTAAAATACACCAAAAAAAATAGCACAAGTGTGTAGTGGCCAGAAAACAACAGGAAAAGGGAAATGGGAGCAGAGTGGGAGCAGGCGGTGTGCTCGGGAGCTGATCTGCCCTGTCAGGCACCAGCCTAGAACTAGGCCTTGCCCGCAGCCCAGGTGAAATGGCCCCGGGCAGGTGGAAATTCAGAGCTCAAAATCAGGTGATGCCAGCTGAGGAGAATGGGTGGGAGCAAATTTGGGTCACAGGGGGAGCAAAATGCTGTTACATTTTCTTGGAACAGGCGTGGGAAGACGGGCACATGGCACCACCCTTTGCACACCCTGGGAAAGGGGGACACTGTGGAGATGTGGGAACAGAGCCACAAGCATGGACTTGGAGTGGTTTTGGGGGGGTTGGCAACCAAAGTCCTGCTCCTGAGTGGGGTGCAGGGACACGGAGGTCATCAGAGATGCAGGGCACAAGGAGGGACATGGGGGACAGGAGGCCATAATGGGCTGGGCTAGATCTGCACGAGAGTGACTGGCAGTGAAGGCATTTCCTTGCTAGCTGCAGAGCCACTGTACTTCCCACTTTACATGTGCAAGAACAATCACCCTACAGGCTTGGCCCAACATCACTCTGTGATGATCAGTCAGCCTCCACCCTCTCTGGCTGGAACCTCGACCGGGGGCAGCAGTCAGCAGTGTTTATGCAGGTTTGTCCGCTTTTTCTGCTGTGAATCCAGGAAGCGTTTTGCTTTTTCAGGGCAAGAGCAGAAGCTCTGGCCCAAGCAGACTGATTGGTGAATATCCATCTGTAAACTTTAATCTCAGTGCACACACAAGTATCCACAGCTAAGGTTAGAGGAAGCAGACAGATGCGATATTCACGGGTGACAGTGGGAGCCCTCTCTTCCCCATCACACATGCATTTTGCACATAGGCGTCTTTCGCTGGAAAGGCAAGCTATTTGCAATGGCGTAGTTATCCCAAAGTCCATACAACAGTGCACCAAAGCATTAGACCCTTCATTCTTCAGTACCTTCTTAACTGATACTGGCTAATTAGGTTCTACTGAATTCCAACTGGGGATCACCCCCATAATATTAGGGGGCTGTTCTTCCTTTGAGTAATAATGGCTCAGCTGTCTCTTGAGGACATATTGCTGACTGAAGGCCAGTCTCTCCCATATCCCTTGTAGAAGGAGTTTACCTTAGAGCCCCAAATTTTGCATGCATGCAAAAAGACCACCAACAAACCAACAAAAAATCCGTAACAGAAACTTTCAGGAGGACCAAGGCATAAAAGCAGATTCTGCTTATCAAACCCAGAGCAATTGCATTAAAATGTCTATGAATCTTTCTTTGGCATTCTCTTAATTATGGCCGTAGAGTCATTTTTGAGAGATAAATATGCTGCACCTAACAAGCCCAGATTACACAGTGACAGGAGCAATTAGTCATCCATACAGTATTCCAGCAATTGTGTTGCATTTTAGTCAGATAACTGGGTCCTGGACATTGCAACTGGCTTCCGATTTACGTTTCACCACTTCTTTTCCACATTCTGAGCCAAGAGTGTCCCAGGCGGCCAGGGGAGTGGGGCTGTGCAGGGAGGAGAAAGGCTCCGTGTGGCTGCGCAGCGAGGGGAAGGTGCTGCTGCCCATCTGTGAGCGAGGGAGTGGGCCAGGCACAGGGAACTGGGTGCTGTGTCCGTGGTTCGGTCTGCACATGCCATAAGGGTGCAGCTCCTGGGCCTGCACAGGGTGCTTGGAGGAGGGTGAGGAGGGTGCCGCTCTGGGGAGTAAGAGCTCCAAGCTGGGGTTGGTTTGTACCCTCAAGGGTGTCGGATCCCTTGCTTTGTTTAAATTTCTTGATAAATTTTAGCCACATGGGCCAAACTGAAAGTCCACGAGAGGAAAGGAAAGAAAGATTGAAAGCTTTTAGGGCAGGGTTTTTGTTTTCCTGGCAGAAGATGGAGACGATGCATGAAAGCCGTAACACTCCTTCCAGCAACTTCCAAGATCTTATAGCATTGAGGAGTACAAGGGTCAGTTAAAACAGGACTAATTAGGACTAGGATTTTAATCCAGACGATAAGATATAGGTTATTCATTTTCTGCTTCTTTCCTTGTCAAGGTCTGGTATGACATGTATTTCCACCGCTCAATACCTGAGGGGTTGCAACCCACAGTGGAGCAGAGGTCTTCTTGGTGGCAAATACAGGGGTCAATCCAGTCTTGCCCTTGACTTTTTTGTAGAGATTATTTTTTAAAGGTTAACTTCAGAGGGTTACTTCCCTGTACCACTGTCCACTCTGTGGGAGGAGGCTCTACTGGTCCCCTAACCCGGGATGCGTGTGACCACCCTTTTCTGCACTGCAGACTGCTGTCTCAGTTGTTAAGAGTACTTGGAAGGGACCTTCCCATGCCGGTGTTAAGGTTTCATCTTTCTGTGGGAGATGAGCAAAAAGAAGAAGAACAATACTGGAGATGGATCACAGTTTTGAAAGAATCGACAGAGGAAAACCTTATTTAAGACTACGGACTTTACTTACAAACAAGGGACTTTATGAATTAAGTTAGAGTTTAACGTTAAAATAGGGTTGTCATGTTATATTTCATAGTGTTTGTAAAGATTCTACCCTCTCTTATCCCTTTTTACTTGTTAATTCCCTTATAAGGTTGTTACTCCTCCCCTCTTGTCCATATACAATTGTAACCCCTCCCATGATCACGTATTTTATGCAAGCTCCTCCTCCTCTATCCATATTCATAATGTTCCAGAAAGTTCTCCTCCTTCCCCTATATAAGGGGGAAGCCATCTTAATAAAGAGTTCACTCCTGTTCCACCTGCAACCTGTCTCGGACCCTTTGAGTGAATTTCCCCATTTCCCTTAGCCGGGCTGTGTTATCTTTCCAAGATATTACTAGAACCCAATCTCCTGGCTTTACCTGATGTGTGTCAAAGTCCAGGGGTGAGGTTTGGGGCAACAACCCTTTCCTTCTAAGCTTTGCAAGAGAGAGCACAATCGCCTGCAAATAATTTTTGAGAGACAGGTAATTTGTTTCAGGAACTGGCAACCCTTCCTCCCTTCCCAGAGAAGGTAGGCCAAACAGCATTTCATAAGGAGACACTCCTGTATCCTTCCTTGGAGCAGTTGTAGTTCACAGTAGTGCTAAAGGCAAACATTTAGCCCTAGTTTCAATTATTAATGAATATCTAGTTTCAATTATTAATTTAGTAAAATGGGTTTTAAGAGTAGCATTCATCCTCTCAACACGTCCTCAACTTTGAGCATGCCAGGAAGTATGAAAACTCCAAGTCATGTCCAATGCAGCACACACAGCCTGTAAAATTTTTGAAGTGAAGTGAGTCCCTTTATCAGATCACTCTGTATCTGGGAATGATTTGTTCTAATTGAATTTTAGCCACCTTTGAGGTTGTAGAGGTTGCAGTAGGAAAAGCCTCTACCCAGTGAGTAAGATGATCAGCTATAGCCAGGAGGTATTTCCATCTCTGCACCGTGGAGAATTCAGTATAATCTACCTGTATACTTTGAACAGGTGTAGCGGTTAGGTACCGCGGTCCGGGGTTGGTGTTGGGACGACGACAGCAATAAAGGGCTCTTTACAAGGTGGAAGGTCTGAGGCTATCGCAAGTTTATTGAAGGAGAGTGCCTGCTTTTATAGGGTTCAGGGGGAAGGTACTGGAAAGATAGGTGGAGCATGGGATTGACAGGTGAGAGAACAAACCAGGGGACAAGCCAGGGAAGGTCGGAGGGAAAATGAAACAACTGGGGACCAATAACAAGTCACTCCACACTGCAGCAAATCTTAGCCAATCAGAGGGAGGAACAGGGGAACAAGGGGTGAACAAGTCTGAACATGTCCGGGCAATAGGAATAAATGGGGTACATCAATGTATGCATGCACGCATTAACAGTTTTATAAACATTCTGAAGTCCTTGAAGTCAACTCAGCAATGTCGTCTCTTAACTTCCATAAACTTCTCTCCACTTTTGGAACCCTTCCCACTGTGATTTCTATTCCTCCACAGTTAGGTAGGGTTCTTCCTCCACTAGGGGCTTTTCTCATGACTTTCTTATGTACCCTTGGGCAGACCAAACCTCGTTCAGTCACTTGTTTTGCTAGTGTATATACTCCTACCCAGCCATAGGTTCTTAGAAATGGGTCACATCATGCTTGGGTTCCCCAGGGTGTTTCTTGGTGTAACTTAATTAATATTTCTCTAGTAATTGCTTTGTTCAGTATTTGCCTTCCATGTGGTAAAAACCACCTGCCTTCCTGGGTTTTCACACCTCCCATTTTTTGTAAGAGTTCTTCTTCTTCCTTCATAAACAATGGAAGTTTTACATTCCCTGTTTTGCTGCTAGGTATCAAGGCCAGCATTTTGGTTTCTTCCTCCCTTGCAGCCTCCTTAGCTAGTTTATCAGCCAAATGATTTTTCCTTATTTCCAGAGTCTCTCCTTTCTGATGTCCCATTACAGGGACTACAGAAACAGCCTCAGGTAGATCAAGAGCTTCCAAAACTTCCAGGACTAGCTGCTCATGTACTGATTCCTTCCCTCTAGAGGAAATTAATGCCTGTTCCTTCCATATTTTCCCAAAAGCGCGTACTACTCCAAAAACACACTTAGAATCGGCAGAAATTGTTCCTCTCTCTCCTCTAAGTAACCCCAAGGCTCGTTTTAATGCATATAATTCACATGTCTGGGCCGACCAGCTGTTGGGCTCCCCAGTGGCGTAACCATTATGACGCTTCCCATTTATACATCGGGATGACCTGTCACTACAAATTCTCTTTCTGTCAACTAAGGGGGTTTCCTGTAAATCCTCTCTGACTTTAGTTTGGTATTCTATAATGTCTAGACAGTCATGGTCAGGGATTTCTGATTCTGCCCTCCCACACAGGAACTGAGAGGGATTTACATTCTTATCTGTAGCTAATACTAAGTTGTCCTTTTCCATTAAAATGGTCTCATATTTCAGGGCTCTTAAGTCTGTCAACCACCTCCCAGACTTCTGACTCAGAACTGTTCTAACTGCACGTGGAGTGGACACAATTAAAGCACCTCCAAAAGTTAATTTTCTGCTTTCTTCCACTAGTAAGGCTGTAGCAGCTACTGCCTGGACACAGGTCAGCCGTCCCCGCGATACCAGGTCTAACATTTTCAAAACGTAAGCTATGGGTCTTTTCTGGCCTCCCCATATCTGAGTCAAGACTCCGTAAGCCATTCCTTCTTCCACGCTGACATACAAGTGGAAGAGTTTCTCCAAGGAGGGGAGTGCCAGAACAGGTGCTTGGATCAATTTCTCCTTTATATCCTCAAACTGTTGCTGCTGATCTCTAGTCCACTCAGGTTTTTCTCCCTCTTCTTGTAATTTTTCATATAGGAACTCAGCATGCTGGGTGAAGTTCTCCATCCATAATCGACAATATCCAAGCAAGCCTAAGAACTTTCTTGTTTCTCGTTTGGTTCTAGGAAGGTGCATGGCAACAATGCCAGAAATGCATTCTGGGGTTATCCTCTTTCACCCTTCACTTGTTAAATGCCGGAGATATTTTACTTCTTTTTCCACAAACTGTAATTTAGTCTTAGAGACCCTTAGTCCTTTCCCTCCCAGGAAGTTTAATGACCGGACAGTTGGCATCTCGAACTTCGTCTTTTCCCTCCCCTGGTACCAATAAATCATCTACATATTTTAGTAACCTGACCCCTGGGGGTGTTCTAAATTCCTCAAGAACTTTTTCTAGGATTTGCCCAAACAAATTTGGAGACTCTGTAAACCCCTGGGGTAAGGAAGTCCAATGTAACTGCTGCTTCCTTCCTGTGATGGGATTTTCTTCTCAAAAGCAAATATATCCCTACTGTTCTCTGCCAAAGGACAGGCCCAGAAGGCATCTTTAAGGTCCACTACACTAAACACACATGATTGTGAGGGATTTTACTCAATAGGGTATAAGGATTTGGGACAGCTAGATGACATACCTGGACGAGCTTATTCAAGCCTCTTAAATCTTGAAGTAATCCGTAAGTCCCATCTGACTTTCTGATTGGTAAAATAGGAGTATTGTAGGGAGACATGCAAGGTTCTAACAACTCATCTCTCAAGAATCTTTTGATTGCCGGTTGTAACCCTTTTCTCCCCTCCAGGGATGTAGGATATTGTCTTACACGAACTGGCTGACTTCCTTCTTTCACTATCATCTCCAGGGGAGAGAGATTCACACCCCCTCCCCCATTCCGATTATCTTCTGCTGCCCACACAATTGGATCTATCTCCTTCCCATTCTCTGCCATCAGCCTGAATAACTTCACTGCCATCCGATCCTCTTCTGGAATCACTCCAATCCCCAACGGTATTTGTCAATCTCTTCCCAGTATATTAGTCCCAGCCTCTGGTATTATTACAAAACTAGGTATGGTTTTTCTGTCATCTCCCAAAACTTTTACTTGCTCCACCACAGGAGCAAGGAATCCTTCCCCTTTTAACACCAATTATTTTAGTCTGCTAAGTTCCTATTTTACATCCTCGTGGGATTTTAATTACACTTAATCTCTCAGCTTCCGAATCTACCATAAATATGAATTCTTCTTCCCAGGGTCCCAATTTTAAATTTATCAAGGGCTCTTCATGGTATTTGGGCCCCCGGGAATAGAGCCCCTGACACCCCTAATGCTGGGTATAATTCTCTGATTCTATCATTTGAAAAGTTTTCGCCTCCCTCTGTAACACAGGACATTCCCTGTAACACAGGGAATCTTTTAAAATTCCCCACCTTCCTGCAATGAAAGCACTTCTTGGGACCTGTTTGCCAGGTAGCTAACTCCCGTCCCCTCCCCCAGGGCACCATAAAATTATGCTGTCCACTCCTTTGCACTACCCCCCTTCGTCTCCCAGCTTCGTTCCCGGGTTGTCATTTTATCACTTGGTCCACTGCTGCCACCATAAGCTTACCTTTACTCTTCTGCTTTTCATCATCTCTGCTACCACAGACTTCCTGGGCTTCTCGCAATAATTCCTTCAGTCCCGTATCACTCCAGTCCTCCACTTTCTCTAGTTTCTTCTTCCTATCAGGCCAGGCTTTAGTGACAAAGTTGACTTTCAGCAATTCCTCACCAGCATCACTCTCAAGATCAATTCCTGAATATTGCTGCACATTCTTTCTAAGCCTCTGCAACCATGCAGTGGGTGATTCATCCCTTTGCTGCTTATTTTCAAACGCCTTCTCAAAACTCTGTCCCTTCGGCACCACTTCCTTTATTCCTCGAATTGCCAGCCTCCTGTAATCCCTTCAATCATATTCTGGTCCCAGTTAGATTGTAGTATGGGAAATTTCTGTCCATCAGGTATTCCCCCTTGAATATTTGGTGGATTTTCCCTTTCCCAAATTCTTATTCCTGCAGTCCGTATCATCTGCCTTTCTTCTGGAGTAAATCAAGTTCCCAGAATGGACTGCATTTCCTCACAGGTGTAGATATTCGGACCTAAAAACTGGTCCAATTTTTCTGACAAGCCTAAGGGGTCCTCTAATATATTACTCATTTCCTTTTTAAATTCCTGGATCTCTCTCCGTGCTAGGAGTACATTGACAAATCCTACCCCCCC